ATATATATGTGGTGACTATTTAGAATACCTTGTTGAAAAATGAAGGAATAAGATTTCCGAATGTATGATGTACAAGGACAATAATGAACATAAGCATACTCGATAGTTGGTGGAATTATGCATAATTGAAAACAGTGATATACAAATGTAAATGGTCTTTCATATCGGGATCTGTGATTATATAAAGGTATACTGTTATTAAATAGACAATCAAGAATGTAAGGGAATTAGGTTTATTGAAAAAATAATAATACTAATTTAATTGAATATATATTGTACAATGAAAGTGAGGTATTTAGTTATACTAGATGAAAAATCAGTGATTGCAAATGCTGTTTGAGAATATGGATGCAAAAACACTAGTAACCAAAAGACATGCTGTATGTAATGGATGAGATTTTTTTTTAATATTGTTTTTTATGTTTAAAAATAAAAACAGAGATTGGGGAAAAAAAGAAAAATGTGAATTAGACAGCATTACCACCAGATGGATTCGTAACTGGCTGACTATTCGCACTCAACATGTAGTGTCCTCAATGGAATCTACATGGAGGGAAGTATGCAGCGGAGTACCCCAAGGCTCTGTTTTGGGCCCAGTATTCTTCAACATCTTCATCAATGATTTGGATGAGGGGATAGATGGGGAACTCATCAAATTTGCAGACGACACCAAGCTAGCAGGAATAGCCAACATTCCAGAAGATAGGCTTAAGATACAGAAGGATCTTGACAAACTTGAACATTAGGCACTATCTAATAAAATGAAATTCAATGGTGAAAAAAGTAGGGTTCTACATTTAGGCAAAAGAAACAAAATATACAGGTACAGTATATGTTTGTAGTTTCCTCAATAGTAGTAACTTAGAAGGATATTGGCGTCCCGGATGGTGGAGGACCTGGATAGCTTGGAAAATGGAGAAACAATGCGAGGCATTGCCCTGTCAGATCCAGCCCACATGCGCGTGCTGGCAAGCTGATTTTTTGCCTTGATTTTTGGCTGTTTTCTGCCCTCCAAAGTCTTCCCTGAAGCAAAAAACGGCCCAACACCCAAACTGGAAGTTTGGGAACAAACTTCTGGCTTGAGCGTTGGGCTGTTTTTTGCCCTCTGAAGGCTTCAGGGAAATCTCCTGAAGCCTCTGGAGGAGAAAAATGGCCCAACAAGCAACCAGAAAGTTCGTTCCTGAACTTCTGGTGGGCCCCATTGGGCCATTTTTCACCCTACCCAGGCTTCAGGGAAGCCACTTGAAGCCTGGGGAGGGTGAAAAATGGCCCAACACGCAAATTGGAAGTTCAGGAACGGACTTCCAGGTAGCCAATTGAGCTGTTTTTCTCCCTCCGGAGGGCAAAAACCGGCCAATGTGCAACCCAGAAGTTCAGGGACTGACTTCCGGTTTGCATGTTGGGCAGGTTTTTGACTTCAGGGAAGCTTCTGGAGGGCGAAAAATTGCTGAATATAAAAGATGAAAATCAACTTTCCTGCATGTGAATGCGTGCGGGAGCTGACAGGGCAACACCTTGCGTGCCCTCAGCAGTGGTTTTGTGTTCCATCTGTGGCACGTGTGCCATAGGTTTACCATCACGGCTCTAAGGCTCTCGTCAAGGCAATGAGCTCAGCCTTTTGGGCTGAGGTTCCAGCAGGAAGCGTTGCTGTTTCCAATGCTTGGTGAAGATGATAGGTCTCAAAGTTGCTGGAACCTCAGAGTCATACTGTAGAAGGCTGCGGTACGGGGGTCAAACAAATGACTATGTTTCCGCAAGTATTGCATCGGCAAATGTAACACTTTACCAATATTCATTGTGGACATGAGTGCATATTCACACAAGATTTCATTGAAATCTGTGATGGTCGAGCAGGGACTCTCAGACCACTTGACATGGAATGACCCACGGATATTGCAGGTACACTATATTGCCAAAAGTATTCGCTCACCCATCCAAATAATCAGAANCTTTGCTGGTAAGGCTCAAAAGCTGGAGGACACATCAAGGTAGAAGTTGAAATAATAGACGTGGGAATTCTTTAATCGATATACAAAAAACACCATCCAAAAGTCTTTTTTGAAGCATTCCACCTTTTTTGCAAAAGGAAATATCCAGAAACTGCTGCTGACAAACAGAAACAGGTAATTAGCTGTTTTTTCATTTTTCTTTTCTCTCCACCTACAAGTTTAATCTTGAGACATATTGTATTTGTGTAAAAACAATCACGCCAGAATTAAAATAGTTAATTTTGCAATGGGGGAATCCCATTTATATGGGTACTCTGGTGTTTCACCAGGCTGGAATACTGACTGAAACTTTTTTCAGAATCAGGACATTCAAAGGGTTGCTCCCACGTGTGAGTCCTCTGGTGTTTTACCAGGCTGGATTTCTGATTAAAACTTTTCCCACAGACAGTACATTCAAAGGGCTTCTCTCCTGTGTGAGTCCTCTGGTGTATTACAAGGTTGGAATTCTGACAAAAACTTTTCCCACAATAAGGACATCTAAAGGGTTTCTCTCCTGTGTGTATTCTCTGGTGTATCACAAGGTTGGAATTGAGACTAAAACCTTTCCCACATTCAGGGCATTCAAAGGGTTTCCAATTTTTGTGAGTACTCTGATGTATAACCAGGTTGGAATTCTGACTGAAACCTTTCCCACAATCTGGACACTGATACGGCTTCTCACCTGTATGAATTCTCTTGTGTATCACTAGGCTGTAGTTCTGAGTGAAACATTTCCCACAATCTGGACACTGATATGGTTTCTCACCTGTATGAATTCTCTGGTGTATAACCAGGCTGGAATTGTGATTGAATTTTTTTTCACAATCTGTACATTCAAAGGGTTTCTCTCCTGTGTGAGTTTTCAAGTGGCTCAAGAACTGGGAATTTCTAATGAAACTTTTCCCACAATCTCGACACTTATATGGTTTCTCTGTGGAGTGAGTCCTCTGATGTATCACCAAGCAGGAATCCTGACTGAAATGTTTTCCACAATCAGGACATTCAAAGGGTTTCTCTCTTGTATGAGTCCTCTGATGTTTCACCAGGCTAGAATTTTGACTGAAACCTTTCCCACAGACAGGACATTCGAAGGGTTTCTCTCCTGTGTGAGTCCTCAGGTGTATCACAAGATTGGAATTCTGAAAAAAACTTTTCCCACACTCAGGACATTCAAAGAGTTTTTCTCTTGTGTGAGTCCGCTGGTGTATCACCAGGCTGGAAATCAGACTAAAACATTTTCCACAGTCAGGACATTCAAAGAGTTTTTCCCTTGTGTGAATCCTCTGGTGTATCACTAGGCTGGATTTCTGACTGAAACTTTTCCTACAATCAGGACACTGATATGGTTTGTCACCTGTGTGAGTCCTCTGGTGTATCACCAGGCTGGAAATCAGACTAAAACATTTTCCACAGTCAGGACATTCAAAGAGTTTCTCCCTTGTGTGAATCCTCTGGTGTATCACTAGGCTGGATTTCTGACTGAAACTTTTCCTACAATCAGGACACTGATATGGTTTGTCACCTGTGTGAGTCCTCTGGTGTATCACCAGGCTGTAATTCCGAATGAAACATTTCCCACAATGAGGACACTGATATGGTTTCTCGCCTGTGTGAGTCCTCTGGTGT